GTTTTATTAAAGAAATATTTTATTGGACACACATGAGAGTAGATGTCCAACAGTATTGTTCCAAATGCATAGCTTGTCTACAAGCTAAATCTAAAGTTATGCCTCATGGACTCTACACATCGTCAGTCTTTTAGGTTTGAGAACGCATGGCTAGATGAACCTGGTCTATCCCCACTGGTTGAAGCGAGTTGGCATCGTGGGCACTTCCCAGACATTCTTGATAGGCTAAAATCCTGTTCCAAAGACATGGATGAATGGGGTCGCCAGCTTCGCTTGAGGTTTCGTGCTCCTATTGACGCTTGCCGACGCCAACTCCTGGAGTTACGTGAAAAGCATGATGCCAATTTTGTGTCAGCATTTTTGGAGGCTCAAGAGCGCTTATCAACACTGCTCGCAAGGGAAGAAACTTTCTGGAAACAAAGAGCCAAGGTGTATTGGCTTAAAAATGGAGACAAAAATACTAAATTCTTCCACGCCATGGCTAGTGAAAGAAAGAAGAAGAACTTGATCCAACGCCTCACCAAACTTGATGGCACGATAGTTATAGCCCAATAGGACCTTTGTCAGGTTGCTCAAGATTACTTTACTGACCTATTTGAAGCCCAACAAAGTGACATTGCCCAAGTCATTGATCATATCTCCCCCAAAATCACAGCAGCAGACAATGACTCTCTCCTTTAACCCTTCTGCATCAGTGAATTCAAGACAGCCCTTTTCTCCATGCACTCTGACAAATCACCAGGACCGAATGGCCTTAATCCAGGTTTTTACAAGCGGTTTTGGGACCTCTTTGGCCTAGAAGTCTTTGCTGCTGGCACTCATTGGCTTGAACAAGAAGAGTTTCCTCCTCAACTAAACAACACGAATGTGGTGCTTATTCCTAAAATAGCAAATCCAACTTCCATGAAAGATCTTCGCCCCATATCACTATGCAATGTGATTTATAAAATCCTATCTAAGGTTCTAGTGAACCGCATGAAGCCATTACTCAACCAATGCATCTCTCTAGAACAATCTGCCTTTGTGGAGAACCGCTCAATACTTGACAATGTTCTGGTAGCCATAGAACTCATTCACCACATGAAATGCAAGAAAAATGGCAAAACAGGGGAAGTTTCTCTCAAGATTGATATTAGCAAGGCGTTTGATCATGTAGACTGGTCCTACCTACACAACCTGCTATTGAAGCTTGGTTTTCATCATAAATGGGTTAGCTGGCTGAAACTATGCATGGAATCGGTCAAATTCCAAGTCCTTATGAATGGAGAGGAGGTAGGACCTATTACTCCAGGAAGGGGCCTCCGCCAAGGCGACCCACTATCACCTTATCTATTCATCATATATGCTGAAGGTCTCTCTTCATTACTACAACAAGCTGAAGCAAGAGGAGACATTCATGGTATCAAAATTTGTAGAGGTGCCCCATAACTCACCCACCTCTTATTTGCAGATGATTGTTTTCTCTTTTGCAGGGCTACTGATAAAGAATGTGCCACACTTAAGAACATGCTCAACCAGTATGAGAAAGCTTCTGGTCAAGCCATTAATATGCAAAAGTCAGAAATATTTTACAGCAGTAACACAACACCTGCTGCTAAAACATCAATCACTACCATCCTAGGTGTTTCAGAATGCATGGGCACCGGCAAGTACTTGGGACTGCCTTCAATGATTGGTAGGAAGAAAAAGGCACTGTTTAACAACATCAAGGACCGCATATGGAGGAAAATCCAGCATTGGTCTGGTAAGCACTTATCTAAAGCAGGAAGAGAAACACTCCTAAAATCAGTAGCTCAATCCATTCATCATCTGAGTATACGTATCTGGCGTTCAGTGAGGAACCTTCCTACCAAGCATAAAGTCAGATCTGTCTCAGGTCCAACAATGGTGTCTTCGGTTATGATAAGGTCTTTGTCATCCTCTATCACCATAGCATTGAGGTTGAGTGGTTCCATACCTGGGAGTGGGGAAACAACGTAACAACGAGTTCACGATGCGGACGACGTGCGGCAACTAACGTCTCATAGAGAGAGAGGGCATCTCACAGAGAGAGAAAAAAATTATTTGCAATCCTAATTCTTTTATATATATATATATATATAATTTCTTATCTAATTTGAGTCTTCATAGTTTTGATTTGATATTTTTTAGAGGTTAAGACCTAATACCAACATGTCATCCATAAACAATGACAAAATGATGAGATCATTATCATCAAGCTTATTATATAGTATGTATATAAGATGATCTAAACTCAATATGTTATAATATTAAGGTTAATGGTGAAGAAATCAAATCTCTCATACCAATATCTTAGCATTTACTTTAGATTGTATAAAGATTTGGCCAACCTTCAAACCAAGTTTACATTTTCTTATTCTTTAAAACCTTTTAGTTGGAGCATGTAAATTATATCTACAATGACATTTTTTTATATGTCATTATATGTAATAATTTTTATAATACATTGAATTTGTTTGTTTATTGTACTTTGTGATCTCGTTAGATATATTTTCTTTTTTATCTACATTATAGTTTTGTATTCGGTGTTTTCATTTACATTATGCAATTCATTTTTTTTGCAAAAGCTTGCATCTCTAAAAATAACCTTACATTTTCTTTTTACATATGTACAACCAATAAAAATCAAAGCAATAATTATATTAACGATGAAAGAAATTGAAAGAATAATAAGTTAATAAAAATATTTTAAAGAAACTAAAATATATCTCATTTAGTGTTTTAAAAATTTGACCATATGAATTGGCATATTATTTTAAAAAGTGCATAAATCAATTCTAGATGTAACCGCCAATTTATTGGTATGTAAAAAAAAATGTTAGTTTACATTTGACAGATAATATATCTAATCAAATTAAGAGACTTAAATCAATTAAACTATTAGTTCTCGATCTAAGTTGATTTTTGAAATAATGGTCTTTTTATAACTTTTCTTCATTGGATTGACTAATTTTAGAAGTAAAATAATACCTTCAATTATGATTTTATATTCAAGAATGGAATTAAACCTTGATTTAGTTAAAAAATTTAAGTGTCAAACCATTTGTATTAATATCATTTGATTTTTAAATACTAGAATCATTAATATTAGGGATTATTTTAAAAAAATTGTATAAATTTTAGTTAAATTTAATGCTACTAACTAATTAACTATTTTTCTTAAATCTTGGTGAATTAGTTAATTAAGTCTTATAAAAAATTAAAATATATATAAGATATTTGAAATTTATTTACATACCATGAACTTTTAAATGTGTTAACATTTAAGTTTAAACACAAATAAACAACTAATACGAGAGGTATGTTGTAATTAAAATATTAATATGGTGTGACAATTGACAAATAATCATGTTACTTAAGAGAGTCTAATTCTTATGCTCACATGTACAAAATTGAAAGAAAAAAAAATAGTTCCTTAAATGAATCTTATAGTGTATTAAAATATTAGTCTCTTCCCTTCGACGAGGGATATATTCTTGGATTAAACCAAAATGTTATAATAAACTACGTTTATGAAATCTAACTTACCTAATAATATTGATCATATCAGAAAACATTAAAATTCATCCACTTGAAATCATACGACATAAATTACCAAGTTACTAAACACGAACCTAATTAAATATCCTTATTGCAGTCAAGGAAGTTAACATCAACCATGATGACTTATTGACACAAATTTACCATTTGGACAGAGCTATGCTTAATTTCAATTTAAAGATCACACAAAGAGATTTAGGATTTGGAAGCTTTAAGTTCTTGTTCGATGACAGAAACGAAATATTCAAATTCGGTACTTCTACACACAAAGCCAACCTCAAGTCCTCCTTCCTCATCTCCACTTTCAGTTAGAGACATGCACTTAAAGGGATGCACCATTTCCACTTTGTTAGGCCTTCCAAATCCAAAATCAGTCTCATAAACAGTGAAGTTGGGTGACCCTGTAACTAGCAATGTACTTCCCAACACAAACATCTTCTTAAACGACGCCCTCCAGTTTTCTGCATCTTTAAAGGGTTCACTTCTCATATCAGTCAATGCCTTTTCAATGGCCTTGACCGCATTCACAAAACCACTCTCTCCCTTGAGATCCTTTCTCTTTAGCATTGCATAACATAACGTTAAGCAGTTTCCAAAATATGTTTTTGGCACAGGATACTCAAGGCGATCTCTGCAATCTGCAGCAAAACGAAAATACTCCTCTTTCTCCTTTTCTTCTTCATCATTTCTGCATCTTGTTCTAACCGAACAAGCCCACACAAAAGCACACGTCACCACAAATTTTGATACATATTGTGGCACGTTGAATTCCTCACTTTCCTTCCACTGGTCCAACACCCATCTTTTCAGCCTCTCGATGTCATCTCTTCTAAAAACAATCGTTGCCTTAACAAAGTCCTCATCAGCATCACCACCGGAACTTTTATAAGTTTGACCAATGAGTTTTTCCTTCCAAGTTGACCTCTCTTCAAAATAGTCTCTTAAGAAAATGGCCTCGAGTCCATTGGGGTCCTTCAACACTCCCCTAGCAAAGCACGGTGGAGACTTCTCCACAAGTGTCAAGTCAACGCCACCGCTTCGACAAATGGAAGACCAACACTTCATGAAATGACTGCAACACTTACCATCCATCACATGACAATATGTGATGGCGATGCAAAGGCCATGGTTGGGGAAAACTGTGACTTGCAATGCCACTAAAGGGAAAGTGAACGTGTCATCATCATGCACGTTTGTGAATGTCAACGTAGGAACCAAGTGATCCAAGTCTTTGAGACTTTTGGGGTGGTTGGATGAGAGAAGTTGGAAATCAGCTTGGGACTCAATGATGGTGAAGGTGACAGAGTCATGATCGGTGCAGCGAATGAAGGGTTTGTGGGGTGGTGGTGGACAGAGGAGATTTCCAGCGAGAGGGAAAAAATGTTGAAGGGTAAGAGAGAGAGAGTGTTTGAGAGTGGGGAGTGTGGTTTCACAGAAATGTTGTGTGGAATGGGAAAAATGATAGAAAAATTGGCGTTTGACGTAAATAGGACCGGCTAAGGGCAAGTCAAGGAAAGAGAGGGGAAGCGACGAGGTTGTTGCTGATGATGCTGAAGCAACCTGAGATTTCTCAACAAGCTTGTGTGCTCTTCGCACTTCCATTTGTTTGACGATATTTGAGAATTCTGAAGGAAAGCTATTGCAGAGATGCATTCGTACCTGTATGTACTGCATATTTATAGAAAAATAACATTTTTTTTAAGAAAGAATCAACAGATTTAAAATTATAGAGTACGCAAAATAGATAAACATGGTTTAACTTTTTATTAGAAAATATGGTCATATTATTTTGAATAAGACAGAAAGAAAATTTTGTCCCACATTTATCAATTGCAAGCATACTTCAGAGATGTAAGTATATATTAATTATATGAACTTAATTGGAAAGCACTCTATCATGTAGTCATAAATTAAAATAATCAACTTTCCATAATATATAATTATTTAAAAGATTATATTTTTAAATATTAACAATCCAAGAAAACGATGAATTCAAATAATTTCAAACCAAAAATTTCAGATTAGCTTAATTCATTGGTTTGAATCGGATTGAAAAAAATGTAAAGAGTTGGATTATAGATTTTTTATATTAAAACCTAATTAATCCGATCTAATTGATAATTTTTATATATTATTATTTTATATTTTATATTTTTATAAAAAAATTAGTTTATCAATAAACAAATTTATTGTTTGAACTAAAAAGTCAACTAAATTTTTCATTCATTTTTAACATTATAATATTTCAATCAACATAATAGTCTATAAAATTTTATAGTTATATATTTTTATTTCTCTTCAATTTGTTAGATTTAGAGTTTAAATATAAGTATGTTAAGACTACTCGTATTGTTGATGAGAATGAATATAACATTATTTTTTATTTTTTAACTTATAACTTTTTAAAATATTTTTTATTATAAATTTAATTATCTAATTCAAATCAATCTAATTATAGTTGGATTAATTTAGTTTGGAATGTAATTATTTTTTGAGAAATTCAATTAACTGATTTAGTTAAATTTAATCAGATAAGGTAAGGGAAAAAATAACATAAATCCAATCCAAAATCTTCTGTGCCACCCGCTAATAAATATAATAAAAAAGTATCAAAATAGATTCATTCTGTACCTTTTCTTTACGTGGTTGAAGGATTCAAAGTTGAAATAATAGTTGCCAGAACGTATATGACACGCTTATGTGACAAACAATTCTGATGAAATTTGTGTTACATTGTATTTGTATTTGACTTAATAATTATCTAAAAATCATATTAATTAGTTAATAGCGTGATTTTTTTACAGTAGTAATATATGCAAGTTATTTATTTATTTTTTTAAAGTTACTTAATTCTCACCGCTCAAGTTTTAAGTATTTTTTCGACGGACTCAATCATAAAATAAAATTACATTTTTTAACTTATAAAATCGAGACATAAAAATGAAATTTTTCTTGCACTTTACAATCTAAATCTTAATGTATTATAAGGGAGGTTATAAATAAATCGCTATCAATTTACAATAATCAAGAGTTTTGGCCTTTTCATTTCATTACAAATTGAAATGTATAATAATATTGTATTTTTTTAATAATCACCTTAAAAAAAAAAATTTATTAATTGATATATAAAAAATTTCTACCCAAAGTACATAGAAAGAAATTTCAATATCTATATGCAAGAACCTGTTGTATTCAACCGTTGATTCCTTCAAATGTTATATAAATGGTTATTGTCATTGTTATAAACTTACGTATCCAAGTAAGGCAAGTTTATCATATTGTCCACTAATATACAAGTGAATAATAATTATTTATTTTTATTTTTTATTTAAACTATTTAAAATTATTAATTTTTTTTTTTTTGAAAACTATTTAGACTTCACTCTATAGTAGTAGTCATAGCTTGTTCTTCATTCCAATAGTAATACATTCGTCACAGACACTAAGGGTGTGCAAAAAATCCAAATTGATCTGAACTGATCCATAACCGATCCGATCCATATTGAAAAATCCGATCCATTTTGAAAAAAAATCCAAACCGAACCACTTTATAAAACCGGTTCAGTTATCCGATCCATTTTTACAAAGTGGATCAGTTCGGTTCGGTTTGGTTTTCTAAAAAAAACGATCCATATATGAGTAAAAAAGTGGATAACTGCACCGCACCGAACCGATCCAATTTAAAAAAAACGATCTATATTTTAAAAAAACCAAACCGATCCACTTTATAAAAAATAGATCGGTTAACCGATCCACTTTTATAAAACGGTTCGATT